AAAACAAAAAAAACAGTCACAATGCAACAATGTATTTTAAAGTTCAGTATGATGTGAAATGTCATATGGTTTATACACAATCTGTTCTATTCTTGATGTAATGAATTCCTAATGAATGAAGAGCATCTAGAAAATTTGAGCCTGGGGACCAGTGGCATGAGATGGAAGATGAGACTGAGAAATATTGAGGGGGCATGCCACTAGCTGCTTTCTACAGCATGTAGAAAAGTACTAAGGTGTTCTTGAAACACCCTACATGTTATATAGTGCCATTACTTGAGAGGATCCCACACAACACAGAACCTAAGCATGATAAGGCTCATAAATGCCTCGGAATCGTTGACATAACAACTGCAGCATAACATTAACTTCGCTACTTTCCTGAGCTGTTTCTTCCAACAGTTTTGTACAGTCACTAAGGGCACGGGGAGTGCGTCTTCCTTCAGGGATTTTTTGAAGGTACAAAACCCGTGCAATCTCCATAACTCCCCACTCACACACATCCTTAACCTCTTTTTTCACTGAGTTTACCCGTTGTTCACTGCTCAATATTTTGTTTTCCAGTAATTCCACTCGCCTTTCAGCTAATTGCTTGCCATTTTCTGGTGCAATCAAAGCATACTTTTCTTGACGTCGCAGTTCAGTTATTGAGATGTGCTTGGCAATTTCAACGCACTGCTTACACAAATCTTCCATGTTAAACTCATTAGCTAAAACAAGAAAGTCAATGGCTTGATGAGGGGTTTTCTCTCTCTGTAACAGATACTTTTCACAGCGCTCTGTAAGTTGTTCCATCTGATATTCTCTGGCCAAGGAAAGGAGAAAGTAGCAGTTGTTTTCACTGATTGGTTTAGATGTTGGGTATATGACAAGTAACATCTCCTTTATTTCAGTTGCATTTTTCCCAGGAAGAGGAATTTCACTTGCTGATTTTTCTCTGAATTCTGGGGAGAACATCTTTTCAAACACTGGTGACCACATGGATAAAGTACCCTTGTGGACATGGAACTTTTTATCTTCAACAACAAAGACAACATCGCTAAGATGCCATGGCTCTGAAAAATCTGGCTCTGATCCTTTTTTCTGCATCATTAGTTTCTAGATGTGAAGGAACAATTAATTCAGTTATGGCTCAACTGCTGTGATGACAATGTAAGGCAAGGTAGTGTCAGAACATGTAACATTAATGGCTTCAACTCTTGTAAAAAAAGTGTTCATCTGTGCTTTACTTGATGTTGATTTAGATAAATTTGTCATGGAATTAAATTTTGTGGTTACAGTTTTCTATCAATTATTAATAGAGGTTTAAATGTGGACAAATGTCTGACCAGCCATTCTTTTATGGTTTAGTGTAGAGATACATTATTTCCATTTCTCACTCCACACAGACACATCCAAACAAAATTGCTTTGACAAATGGCACAAAGTCTGCCTTATTTTCAATCACTCAGACTTTTTATAATAAATAATAATTTATACTAAGGTTCTGAATCTTAGGAAATCAGCAGGGTGGTGTTAAAATGTTGTGCTTAAAATTGAAGAATAGAAAAGATAACCCTTACCTTTATACCACTATTCTTGTTTTTCTTTCTTTTTTTTTTTGCTTGGGGGGAGGGGGGGGGGG